TTATTTTATTTTATTTTATTTTATTTTATTTTATTTTATTTTATTTTCTTCAGACCATGGTTGGAGGCCCACCTGAGGCCAGCTGAAAGATAAATAGTTTTCTTATAGCGATCAAGTTGGAATAGAAAGTGTTTTTTTTAAAACATCCTTTGTGCTTTTTATGTGCCCAGAGAGCCACTTTCTGACCTTCATCTTCCCTGTCCCCACCCTCCACCTTCACCCTCACCCTCTCTGGAAACTGTTCTCCCCAAGGTCACCATGAACTCCTGGAGCCAAATGACGTGACCTTGCCTGGGATCCTGCCTTTCTTGGCTTCCTGCTGAATTTGGCCTGTGTCTGGCCCACGGCAGGCCTTCAACACATGTGTCTGAATGCATGGCTCTCTCTGCAACTCCTCTCTCTCCTTGCTTGAGAAACATCCTCACTCCCTCCTTTCCACGTAAGGGTCCACTGGGTTGGCCGGAGATCCTCCCGAGGGGCTCGAGGGACCAGGGTTCACCATTACGGGAGTAACGAAAGGCCTAAGAAAGGTAACCTATCTGGTTCTAGATAATCCTCAACACCTCTGTGTGATCCGTTTAGCACCAGAAGCAGGGGCTAGCCAGGCCCCAGGGGATGGTCAGCTCCACAGGGTGTATCTCTCCTCTTAGCCCCATTCTAGGATGACTGGCAAAGTCAATACTGAGGGACCGAGAACAGGATCACCAGTGGCCCAACAAGGTGGCCTAGGGCCAGGGCATGTCACCCAGTGATCCAGACAGGGCCTCAAGGAAGCCATCACAGCCTGTCCCAAGCCTTCTAGATCGGATGGTATTTTTGCACCTTGGCAAGTAGCCGCCAACCTCTCACCAGAAAGAAAGCCTCTCCTCCCTGAGCAGCCTTTGTCCCTTCCCTGCCAGCCACGGAGGCCTCAGGGAGCACCCCCTACCTCCCTCCCAAGCCAGCCGGAGCACTCTCCTGGTGCCCTCCAGGCCCCGAGCTGGTGAGGAAACACGGCTGATTATGGCAGCCCTTCTCTCGGGTCCGTTGGGCAATGGTCTCGGCTGGACGTGCGGCATAACCCTTGCCCAGAGAGCAAGGTGGTGTCAGAGGTGTCGGCCTGCCCCCAGAGAGGTGCTGTGACCTTCAGTGTCAGGTTCGGACCCGTCTGAAGTAGCCTCCCGGAGTGATTTACAATTTGCAAACACGTTTTATTTGATTCCTCAGTTTTGCTAGAGCAATTACAGTGACTAAGCATGACAAATCACTCCCATCACGGTGTCTACTCGCTGTTAGGAAATGTGTTTGCTTCACTATTTTGCCTGGTGCGGCAACATTTTAAAAAT